TCGATAAAGATTCCTGGATTGTTAGGTTTAAAGGAAACCTTGACGCCTTTGATTTGACGTCCCTCATCAGTTTTGCCGCCAACAATAGTTTGTACTTTATCAGGATACTTCTTTTCCAAATCATCCAGCTTTTTGTAAATTGTGTCGAGAGTATGATAATGTTTAAAATCAAATGTCGATACATTCCCGGGCATCGTCCGATTGATTAATGCCTGAACATTCTCAATATATATTTCACAAGGTGCTTGGATCTGTGCCATCATTTCGTAGAATTTGGATAGCTTGTGCGGGGCTACCATAAGTACCGTTTGTTTATTCACGGACGGTCTTATCCAGAAGGAAATCTGTAAATTATGTTTAATATGTTTAGTTAATAGCAATATAATTTTAATTTAAAAAATTAATTATACATTTGTTATTTATTTTTATATCTTCTAATTTCATATAATAAATAATTTGCTAAACTTGTAGGTAAACCTAATAATAAAGTAAATTTTAGAAATCTCTGTACTTTACTTTGCTACTTTTATAATGTTGATTTTTTCGAATTGTAGATAATGTAGTCAATTTAAATACTACAAATTTCTTAAAAATAATAGATTTTTGCGCAAAGTACAATAATTAATTTGCCTTTACTTGTTTCTATATTTGAAGATCTACTTACTCCATGAATGTCTGCGAACTGATTGAGCAGTGCAGCCTGCATCTGTGTCGTCACAGTAATTCTAAAGACCTTGTAATTGTCATAAGTTACTTGCTCGGCGGCAACAAGGCCCACAATCGTGCATAATATTATTATTTTCCACATAATAATCACAATTTTCTTTAACATTAATGCGCGAATATTAACTTCAGTTGTCATTAAACTTTTCGCGTCACAATAATAATAAATATATTAATAAATAAAGATATTGTTTTACATAATGTCATTTAATTTTTGAAAAATATATTAGCACAGTTATTGACAACTTGTAAAAATTGATAATTTTTAATAATCTTGTAAAGAAATTTACTGATAAATAAATACTATTTGTGATTGTTGAGCAACAAAACATTTAATCCTTGTAATATAATTTATGAACAATCTCTTTTAAGAAAATCGCTTAGGTACACGTCAATAAAATGAGAGCTCCGGCAACGGTCATTACTGTGATGTTAACACAAGAGCGTCAAAAATTCTCTGAAAAAATCGAATATTTTAAAAATTAAAATTATATTTTGAAAATACACTGCATTTTTTAATAATGATGATTAAACGACTTAATATTAAGTAAATGCATTTAATAATATACCTTAGAATTAGATAGATACCTTAGATTAGAAGTATACCTTAAAATTTAATTTTCGGTTTTTTTTTCAGAGAACTGCTAACGACGCACTTGTACAACTGACTAAAATTACGTATAGTTGTACGTAGCACTAATTTGCGCTATCAAAATAGGGTAAATTATCGTAGAATTTCCTAAGCATAAGAGAACTTTAAAAAAGATAAAAAGGTAGAGTCAAGTGTTCACGTTAAAATAATTACTGTGAGACAGAAAATTTTTTTAACCTATATAAGTTTTTTGTCTCACAGAGCGATATCATGCATAATCTCGTTAATGTCGAGCATAAGAATTTTAAACATTATATAAAAAAAATTCTATATATTCAGATTAATTAAAATATATTAACATCATTTTATTATAAGTTTGAGACATTAGTAGTTAAACAAAGCTTTATTGATATAATATTACATAGCAATACTGTTTACAATCCAATGAATCCAATCAATAAAAATTACAAATAATTTCATTGATATTTTTACATTTTTTTATCGCCTAACTACAAAGAAATCCAAAGTCTTTCTCTAGTTATAACAGTTTAAAATTAATTAATTTTATAAATTGTGAAACGGGAATAAGCTCATAAATTGTGTTAAATAAAACAACATAGTTCATAAAAGTATTTGCAATAAAACTATAACTACTTTTGGTATAATGATGTTTTTGGATATCCAAGTGCTTTTGCCTCTTTAAGCATAGCTACAAGAGAATCTAAAGTTTCTTGTCCAGTCGGAATAATCTTCTCAGGTGGCAACAAGTAGCCATAATGACCTTGATCACGTAACTCATACATAAAGACAATAGATTTATTATAAATGCCTTTGACATAATCCACAGACGTTCCGCTAGCCTCACCTAAAAATAATTTTATAATTAAGAATAGATGTTTAAAAGATAATATTTTTAGCAACAATATTTCAAAATTGTAATACAATATCTTAGCAGATTAGATTTTTAAAATAGTAAAGAAAAAATAAATTGTTATCAACTGTAGTAAGAGTCATATAAGATAATTAAAAACTGTTTAAGAATATAATAGATAAAAGACAAAGAGAAAAATCGAGTAAAAAAAACAGAGAGAGAGAGAGAGAGAGAGAGAGAGAGAGAGAGAGAGAGAGAGAGAGAGTTTATAGAGAAAGGAAATAAAATTCATGAAAATGGTTCTATTTACCAAACGTTTCGGTAATGTTTCCAATCTTATATTCAGTTCCGTATCTTTTTTTGAGAGCTGCAATTGATTTCGAGGCAATTGCATACTAAAATTATAAAAACTATGTAAAATTTTTTATAAAATTATTAATCTTAATAACAAAAATATTAATAAATAAAATAATAATAAACTTGATTACTCGAAAATCACTCAAAATTTAAATCACAAAAGACCGATCAATAACTTACGCTAAAAAGTATGCAGAGAGAATTTTTATATTACCTTATCAATAATTAATTGACAACTTTCATATTAGCTTATAATTTAGGTATAAGTTGCATAATCTGAATGCATTTTACTATCATAATTTTTACAAAACAACATGTTGTCTTACTATTAAAATTACTCACTGAATCTTTATAGTTCTCAAGATGAACTTGTGTGTGGCCATAAGGCCACATCAAATATTGAGCATAATTGTGAAACGCAATATATGCGTAGAATTTGTCAGAAATAGATCTGATATATTGAGACATGCTCTTTGTTTCTATTTCAGAGAATGGCGCACTTCCAGCGTAATGGTCAGAGCATGGAGAATTGCTAGCACCTTTAACTGAAACAGTCAAATTATATATATAAGTAATATTATATCTTAATCTTAAAAACTTTTTAAATATAAAATAATTTCAACTTTTTATTAAATTTTATTTAATTTTGTACTATTATGGGAGATATTTTTCTAATATAATAATGCAAATTCTTACCATTCCATTTGTAATCCCAGTTTCTGTTGGGGTCACTGCCATAACACTCATCCGTATATTGCTTACGTGTTTTCCTCCATAATCGGTTCTAAAATAAATTTAAAATATTTTTGTAATTAAGCCCCAAATTATAAATTAATAAACAATGCTATATAATATAATAAAATCTTATTTATCTTCTCGAAGCTTACCGCAGTGTGCGTGTACTCGAATCCATCAGGATTGAGCAATGGAAAGATATACCAATCGTGACTCTCAGCCAGTTCTCTGACCTCCGGATTGTTACTTGTCAGCAATTCATGTAAAATGAACATGACAGTTGCTGACGAGATCCATTCCCTGGCGTGAATTCCACCCTCGAGAAATATTCCAGGATTGTTGGGTTTAAAGGAAACCTTGACGCCTTTGATTGGACGTCCCTCATACGTCTTGCCGCCCACGATAGTTTGTACTTTATCGGGATATTGCTTTGC